GGATTAATTTGATTTTTTGAAAGGAGTGAAATTCAATGGAATTTATTAGTAGGTAGTTTGTGTCTTCCCTGCAAAAACGCAATATTGAAAATATATTAAGGAAAAATCTATTAGTTTGATGATGTAGTTGTAAGAGGATATCGAAAAACTTTTGCCATCTTCGAAATGCTGAATATTGTAATGAAAAGTGGACCAACGCCGTTTTAAGCAAGGTCCTAAATAAGTTTGAAAATATTTTCTAATCGAGCAAAAAATTACGGAAAATATTTGGTATTATGTTTAAGAAAATTTCGAAATTTTCCTAGGGACTTCGTGTACACTATACCCAAAAAAATTAAAAGAATTGTTTCAAATGCGAGTGGCATTACGCAGATCGATCGGGAAATATCTATTTTGAGCAAAATCCTGTTAATGTTGTAAACCCTGGTGTTCACAAACAGATAAATGGATAGACGTTTTCAGAAATGCCTCTGTGTCAAGGATCCTAAAACGTGGATTTTGATGACACTACGTATACGAAAAATAATATAATAAATGTAGAAGCAAGAAAATTCCACTTTATTGATATTAGTAACACAGAAAATTCAGAATCAAATATCACAACTTTTTCTGCGATGTAACTTTCTCTAAGTGAGGTAAAAGAGGAAGTAAAAAGGGATGTGATGAGAGCCAAGAGATATTTTGGGCTTACTTTCAGATATCCTAATTAAACGAATAAGTTAAACCCATTTACTATGAAAAAATATGGTTAAAAAACAACAAATTCCTAATTCCCAATTCCCAACAACCAATTGAATACTCATTCTTGAAGTTTTCGCCTAAAAATAACCAAAGGAGAATACGTCTCCGAAGGCTTGAAGCGATAATGACCGTGAATTTTAATTTACGTTTATTGCATCGCATGATGAAAACAAGTGTGTTGTTCTTCGGTCATACTTTGCATCGGTGTCAAATTATTGTTCAGACAATTCAATAGGTAAGGAACAGATTATTGTTGAGAACCCTCTAAGTACCCCATATACTAACAATATATATTGGGGGCGGGGAGTCTATTATATCTTGTACGTTCCAACATGTTCCAAAATGTAGAAACGAAAAGATTAGTTATTGAGAATGCAAGAACGTTCTCCAGGGTGATTGAATGGAGGGTGATATAAATGATAAAAGTCATGATTTTCCAAACATTCATATCGCACAAAAACTTGAAAAAAAACTCACCAAAATCAAACTGGACAATTTTCTGGACGTCGGAGTTAACTGTTAGAGGGAGTTATCTTATCTCTTCGCTTCTTCCATGGATTGATCTTCCTGTATTCAAGGCGTTGTCATCTTTAAAGGAAGCCAGCCTTTATTAGTTTTAACCATTATGAAAAAACCGACGTTGAAATAACTCTTTCTCTTTGACTTGTTTATACGCTGCAGTAGGGTGTAGGGGTACATATAGTACGTCACTTTATTTCACTGTCGACAACTTTGTGTGTTCTACTCGTATTTCGGGTATATTAATCATACAATTCTCTGCGAAAGCTTGGACAAGGCTTGGTCAGTAAGCACACAAGTTTAGAGTTTTTACGTCTGCAAAGCACTCTGCGAATATACTCATTTCATTTATACTCGCGAGGTATTAAGTTCGCCGCACATCCAAAATAATAATGCGACTATAGTATAGTCAACGGAAGCGAGGCCTTGCCGCTCACGGCTAAAATTGCCGCATTTCGTCACTTCGGACACACTTTCCTCTGTTTTATTTTCGAGTCTCTGAACTCCGTGTCATCAGCTTGGTACTTTCGCACCTTAGTCGATTGGCTCTAAAACGAGACAGAGAAATTTCCTGAGACTTTCGTGGGCAACAAACCGGTTCACCTGTGCGTGGGGTGAAGCAGAGCAGGATTACTCACCGGAGGTTGAGACAGTCACCTCCCAACAGACCTTGAGAAACCTCCTCCTAACAGACTTCACACCCTCTTATGGTGACACTTAGCTCTCATACCTTAAATCCGTATTCATTTTGTACAATAATTAGGTTTGGTGACCACTTTCAATCATCTTATAATTATTTATGCACTAAGAGCGTTACAATTAAGGAGCGGATTTTAATGAAATGTCATTGTTGTTTTTTTTCTTTTCACTTTAGAACAATGCCTTTTTAGTATAGACATTAATGTCATGTTATGACAATAACAAATTACCCATTTTTTATGCGACAATTTTTTTGCATCTTTGGTCGATGTAAGTCATCTGGTGGTTTAGAGCGAAGTCGCTCGCCTCTCACTAAGGAGGTCCGGTTTCGATTCCTGTCGAATACCGGGCAATCTCATGTGAAATCTGTTAAAAAATTTAAAAAAAATTAAAATACAAAAACGCTGGGTGCTTCACAAGGGCTAGTCCAACCCCTGTGAAGTGTCCTAAACTTTACCGCAATCGCAATTCCTTCTCAATTCTGGACGTAGTAGCGCGTACGCGGAGATGCTACCTGGCGGTGCTCCTGACTGACTACGAGACGTGATGATATTAATGGAGGATTACCCCAACCGCAAACGGCTCAACTACCCCCAAAGGGCTTGGAGACGCGTTGCGTCTATGTAAACGAAAAAAATCGATTAATAAGCCTTTTTTACTTTTTTGTCATTTTTAAAGAAAAGTTTTGCTAATTTAATAGATTTTAATATAAATTTAATTGCATTTGCTTCAAATACTATTTATCAGTTGCAACAAATTCTCCATGGAATTTCTGAGTAGCCTATTCGATTGCATCGCACAGGAATTGTAATGTCAGCCATTGTAAGTATGTAATCTAAAGTTCATGTGACACCTATCAGTATCATTGTCGGTTCGGTCGATTTCGTGATAACTTTTTTAAGATGAGATTTCGTAGTAAAGAACAGTCCAATCCAAAAGTTTGCACGCTCAGTTCACTTGAACGAAAGAAAGAAACATCGATTATATCAAGAACATATCCAACAGCCTGAGATATTCAAATGGTTTTGATAATTTTTACCTCATTTTTCTTTGCTTTTAGAGCAGTTTTGAAACATTTTAAGAGCATTTTATCGATCATTTTGGTGATGTTTTATATGATTAGAATTCGCCCCATAGTTATAAAGGATTCTAATCATGCAGAAGCGACGGAGTCCGAAGGCCTTTGGCCCGACCGGGGCGTTTGCCTCGAGTTAAATCGGGTAGCAATCGTGCATTTATCAATACGAAGGTGGCTAAAGAACCAAGTTCTTTATAGATGAAAAGTTATGTCATTTGCACGATATTTTAATACGTAATAAGTCGGAATGTTGGAAGAGTAGGAAAAAGTAAGGAAAGAGGCCTCCCACAGATTGCGCCCCTTCGTAAGATTTGTATGTGATTAGTCTCTTGGAAGTTCAACACATGCAAGATGCGAATTGACGCTAGTAAAAATATGCATTTATGACCTAAAAATTCTGAAATATGCACTTTAATATGCATTATTCCAAATTAACAATATTCCATTTCCTGTAGAAACCTGTCTTGATAAAATTCAGGAGAAACATGCTTGGAATGAAAATATATATTTTTGTGCAAGCATAATACGATCTTCGCGGGAGAAATAATTGAAATAAATATACCCGTTAGTGAAGTGCATTGTACGTATGTCTTGTTTCATTTCTTCTTCCTGGTATCAAATGTATTCATCAAATTCTTAATGATATCAAATGCATGATATCAAGCCATACCCTACATTTGCACAGCTATTTTATCATCTATAGAGAAAAAAAAGTAAAATGTGACAAGCTAATTCTTATCAATGAGCGCTCGGATATATATATAGAAGATTCTATGAAAAGATGAAAGGTTTTAGAGATTTCTATTATATTTTAACGAAATACGCAAAATATGTGCCTTTAATTACTCGAATTCCACCAGAAACCAACAGAAAAAACGGCCAAAAATGCACGAACATGTTAGTCTACATAGCATCCAGTACTAACGAAATGTCGAAGCAACGGAAAAAGTATCCAATAGAAATCCGCTCCCTAATGATGACCGAAGTCCCCGTCTTCGAAAGTCCCCCGTCCTACCAGGCACACAGTACCGATGTTTGTGCTCTACGTACATCTTCCACAATACGAAATTTTCAAAAATCCAAAAGGAAGAATTTGGAACAGAAACGTTTTTTCATAAAGTATTCTTCAAAATTTCCGTGCCCCCATAATCGAAGACAGTCTTTATTGCATTCAAATCCCTGGATAAACTTTTCAATTCGTATCCTGCTGTGGAATTCGACTGTGAGTTTCGAGCAAAAGGTGCGATGGCTGGAAGGTAACGGCCCCGGCGCTGCCTTGCATGCCCCTCTGACCCTCCGCCGCTTACATCAGCAACGGAACGGGCGCTGGTGGGCGCGGCGCGGGGTGGCCTTGGACGGGAGACGGGGGCCGCCGCTGTCCCCGGAGAACTTCTGGCCAAGTCTTACTCGTGCAAGTTTTCTTAATACACGAGCTCCCTAGTCCTAATCCAGCACTGAATAGCAAGGCCTGTTGAGATACTCGGAACGGCACGTACCAATTTACAATGCTGGCAACAACCACCTCGTACTTGCAAAACAATCGTAGTATTTCTCGAGGCACCTTTTAGCGAATTAGGTTCATGCCGACAGTTGGTACGCCCTTTTAAGCCGTGACGTAGCCAGAGCTCTCATCACCTCGCACCCCTCGCTGCGGAATATCAAGAAAACTTGCGCATATAGTACTGGTGTCTGCGAACGACGATGTGGCATAGCTACAGCAGAACCCGTACGCTTGTGGGGAATGGTACCTTCACCATCTCCACCCCTGCCAAGAAAGAAATATACTTCGATTTTTCTATAGTGGCCGAAGATATTAGGCCATTGTTACACCTCCTGCCTTATAAAATTACTATTTTTAATTAATTCGCGAACGTCCTTCTCAACGGGGCTCGTGGCCTCAAAAATGTGCTTACCACTGTTAAAATGATTAATTTTATAAAGCAGTACGTGTAACGATGACCCAATGTCATCGGCCACTATAGAAAAACCGAAGTATATTGCTGCTGAAAAAGTACACTTTCTAATGTTATTTAAAAGGTAAAAACTAGTTAAACCCGGAAAATATTTTTAATGAGGGGGGTTTAATAAGGCCGGTTTGGGATTCGAACGTTAGCGCAACCGCATCTTATCGCCAAGCGTTACCTGTGTACGCTTCCAACATCCCAAAAACAAAGTAGAACGGTTGCAATTTTCAAACTCTCAGAGGTTTCAATGGTAATTTTACCTACATCATGTTATCAAGAGAATTATTCTCTTTTCGAGCAAATGTATGTACGTAGGGCGGGGCGTAAACTGGTTATAATGATCGAGCGGCGACGAAAAGCCTGAGGGCCTTTGGCCCAAGGGAACCAGTTAACGCCCGTGGCACATACCTGGCTTTTTGTCGTAGCTCGATCATTAGAACCCTTATAAGGTCTTCGGGCTTTTTGTCGCCGCTAGATCATAAAGCCCTTGGTGTATAAATTACTATTACGGTATCACGGATCACCGAAACATAGATTTTGAGTATACTACGTTTAAGAAAAATAATATGTAGCTGTAATATAATCGTAGGTAGAATGTAATATAATAAAAGTAATAATAGTATTATAAGTATTAAATACCGTGAGATATTCCATCGTGAAGACAGTCTCGCGCGCCAAGAAATAAAAACCCAAGTATAGAGCTCCGTGTCGAAGGCAATGACGTTCGCTTCGTAATCGGGTACACGGCTTACAAAGGCAGCCGGACTTATTTCTGACGATCGATCACTAAACTCATCAAAAAATTTGCATGATGTCTCATATCCAAAGTCACGAGCAAAGAAAACGAAACCTCGTCATTACTATAGCGGAGTGTTTGCGACGCTATGACGGGATGGTGCATGTCTCTAATACGTAGAGGGACATACTAACTAATGAACAATATAAAGCATGCTTGGCTATTCATGCTTTATATGGCTACAAGCAGCTATTTTGGACATTGTTTTAAAAATTGCGCTGTGTGAAAAGCGACAAGAACACCCAATTGAACACGCTCCCATTTGAAGAACAATTCCAGAGTTTTAGTGAACACGCCACTGGAACCCCAGGAAAAACACTGCGCATGTCCACATTCGCTAAAACGCCGGAATCGTTCATCAAAGGGAAGCGTATAAATTAGGTAGCAAGGGCCGCTATACTTACGTTCCCCCGTAAAGTACCCGTGACCCCGGCTATCGTCTCCATGACTTTCGTCGCAGTGCCCTTCATACGTGTTTCTCTGTGGGCTACATACCATGTTACCGCGTTGCAGAATAATTCCTTGAAGTGTAAGGCGAGTTTTCATCTCTAGTTGCAGGTTAGCAAGGACGATGGGCAAAGAAGAAGTGAAGCCAGCGCAGGGCGGCCACGGAGCGGCGACAGGATCCGCTGGTGGGAAGCCTCCTAGTAAGTATCCTTGCTTACTTACAAGAAGATAGTAGCTACAACATTATTTATAATAATAGCTCAATAATGTTTGGATAGTTCTAAATTATCTCCGAATAGTAAAATGCAGGACACTGCATCATGTCACATGAACATCCACCAACAGACTAAGAACTTTCTCACGGAAACTCAGAGAATAAAAGTACGCCAACACCTATCCGTTAATTCTGTGACTCCTCCGCCCCTCCACCGACTTTCAAAGAACTCTGATATAAACTGCTGATTATCCACCCTCCTCCATTATGTCCCACTCCCAACGGTGGTTGATCTCCCTCTCTCCCTTCATGATATAGAAAGACATTGGCAAAAGTAGAGTAGGTGGAGTTGGGTCCAAAGGTTCGAATGGGGCGGGGGAGAGGGGTGAATATCGACTCCAGGCGCGACATCTTTGGTTATTTGAAAATGTTAAATACCAATACAAAGACGTTGGAAAGTTTATTGTTGATTGATTATTTCGTGTTTCCGGGCGCGTGAACTGTCAGGGTGATTAGTCCCGTAAGTGTAGTGCACATTTTTATCACTGGAGGTGGCGGTGTTCTTCCCCCGCTGAATAGTGAGATCTGGCGCCGACCTACCCCGACCACGGGTTCTCTACATCCAGACATACTCAGCAGCGGGGCGGGACAAACTGTAAGCTCCATGTAAGAGTAAGTGTGTGAGGGCAGGACAAGGAAGAGGAAGGAAAAAGATCGTAAGCGATCCGTGGTCTGTTTATTAGAAACCAAGGAAAACTACCTATCAGAGCAGCCGGTAGCTAGAATTCTCCTCCAGGCAGCTGCTGAATTCGACCCAATCATGCAGGTAGTATCGAAAATCCACCGGGAGGTCGTTAGGTTCGAGCTTCGGGACTGCAACCCCACGACCTCCCGGTGAGCAATGTTGAGCCCGAGACATGCGCCATCCCGGCAAATGTCCTGCTCGCTCTCACACCCGGTGTGTGGGCCGTAGCGCTGTAGGAAAACGCAATAACACCATTAATCGCACTCAATGACTGTCCTCGGGCGACTGCGCAGGCGCGGACCCGAAGGCGACGAAGGCGCTGCTGGCGGCGGCGGAGGGCGGGCGCGCGGCCGAGGTGGCGCGCCTGCTGGACGGCGGCTGCGACCCCAACGCGCGCGACGGCTCGGCCACAACGGCCGGCTGTTTTCCTCGGCCGGCGGCCGCGGGCCACCGCCGAGTGCCGCGGCGGCGGCTGCGCAGCCGCGCGACGTGGGCGTAACGGCGGCGGACGGCTGCACAGGCGCGTCAACGCGGCCGCGCGCACACGGCACGCCCTGCTGGCCGTAGCTGCTGCGCGCGCGCCGCCACGTGCGCCGCGCAGCGACGCCCACGGCAAGACGCCGCTGCACCTGGCCGCCAGCCGGCCGGTGGAATCCGCCCTGCGCGCCGCGCTGCCTCACGTCGCCGACAACAGCACATCAAGAGTATACACATTAATAATATTATATTAATTAAATAATATATTACATATTTTATATATAAAAACTGTGGTTATCTCGATTTCTAATATGCAACATCCTAATAACGTCTTGCGGAACCCGATTTTGGTGTTGTTTAAAGAACTTGTGTTAAGCTAGTTCTGCAAGGATAGTGTAACTCGCATTTGGCATTGTCAGGTCGGATCTATATATATATTAATATATAAAATGATAATAATATATATATTATATAATATATCACACACACTCAATCAGAAGTATGGACAGATCGTTACGCGAATTCCAAGGACTGAAAGTAACGGCGTTCTTCCCTATATTAAATAATTGTTCACCGATTTCTGACATATCTAAGATATATTCCTTTGGGACACGCCCAATTTTATGTTAACGAGAATTTCGTGTTAAGCTAAGTTTCTCTAAACGAGAGTGACTGACTTGGCGTTGTAAGGGTGGCATAATATGCACTTTTGCCAGTTACGCATGTTCCAGGTCCCAGCCAAATTTTATTTATATACACGCCGGGGATAAGGGATACATGTACGCATCACAATATCCGCTCACTTAGTACAACTTACTTCGTCTGCTGACTTTTCTTCGCACGTATTACAGAACTGAACGATTGTGTTAAAGAGCACACATAATTCAATCTACCGATGAATCGGACGCGGGGCCATTTACAGAAAGCTAGAAAGGCCCGGAACCATCCGAGGGGATGTTCAATTTTCATCTATATATTCGTACATCACTAAAAATAATAAAAAATTGAACCAAAAATGCCAAAAGAAATTGATCTGGGTTCGCTTATACTCGATATTGGTGTTATGCCGATAGAATTTTTCGCACCCAGTACATAATACTGGACAACAGGTACTGCATGCGACAGTAGGCTTCCGAGAAAAAGGCATTCTACTCTTCAATTTTGCTATTCGTGTTGCGTAAATAAACAGCACGTTTTAATAGTTCCCTTTGTGGTGTAAAGTAACTCGTAGTACTGATATCCGTACACACGTATAATTATAATTTGCAAGGCAAGTTTTTTAAAAAAGCATTTATTGTGTTAACACGGTATTTTATTCTGAGGAGTTCGATTGCCCTTTTGAAAACACACGATTTGTTGTCGTTTGTTCAACTCAGCATTTTTGCTACTGCGATAGGCAAAGTTTAACATCGGTTTGACTCTGGTAGAGGGGTTAACAAGGTAGAAGATTATTATTTCGTGACATCATGGGGATATGAGTTCTCATTCTTGGAAGTGTTTCTTTCGTAGCTGGGAGTTGCGTTTGTTGTTTTGGCGAAATATGTCTGGAATAAGAGCAAGATAGTTTTAAAAAAAATGGATAAGTCGCTTGTGTTTTTCATTTGAAATGTGGTTTGCCCGCGTCATCTGCGCTTGACATTGTTAAAGTAAGTGAACGATAAATCTGGAGGAACGGGGCACAGCTCGTTGATTCGTTGCTTCATTTGAATCAATGAACTGATTATTTATTCGCATTGCGCACCTCTGGGCAATCCAATGGTTTTTTTTTTAAACGAAACAAAGTGTAAAATCAACCACCTCGCATTTGACATGTAGTTGGTGTCGCCAGATGCATCAATATGGCTCGCCTCGCGACTGAAGCGCGTGTCCGCGTCTCTACCCCGCATACGCTATTTTAAAAAACCTCTCTAAACTTTAAGAAAATACCAGTGAAATGAAAAGGAACCGTGCCACCATAAGCTTCCAATCATCCTAAGTGAACGCCAAACTCAAGACAATAAAGGGCCGGTTCACCAACAGTCCGAGTAAAGTTGAGAGTAGTTACCCGAGAGTAACCATTTACTCCAAGATAGTAACTCTTCGAGTAGAATATGAGCGTTTCACCATGCCCTAAGGGTTATTTGACTCTAGAATTACATACTCTCCGAATTTACTCGCAAATCAGCTGAAGCACAAATTTGGGAGCGACTCAAAGGCTGTGAGGGAAATGACGCTTGGGAAACCAATGCGGACCATCGTGAACCTTTGATATCCCGTAATTTCTATCATTCATTTCAGTTTCGTGAGTTTCTTGGCGTTTATAACTGATGTGGGTGTTATGGTGGTTGAGGTTACCAAGTTTTTCGCTAGTTTCTGTATCTTATTTCTTAATAAATATTCCATTCTTCCTCTGGAGCCGAGTTACTATGTTGTAGCAATGCAGAAAACAATTTGCGTTCGTTTACGATGGCGGTGCAAATGATTTTCTCTAATAGGGAACGAAGAATGTTTAGTTTTCAAATGATGCCTGATCTCTTGTTTTCTAAATTTATTATTATGCTTGTTTTATTTTTTAAACTTTATTCATCTTTCAACTATTTTATTAAAATGTTGAAGTGAATTCTGTAACCAAGAAAACGTGCGCAAATGATCTCCCCATACGTCACATACAGTTTTCACTGAATAAATAAACTGATTGTCTAGTAACTTGAGTTCCTGTAGTTATTACTTTTCCTTTTGTTGTCGTATTCGGTACGTACTATCTTTATTTCGTATCCTCATGGGACAAAAAGAACTTTAGAAATTCTCTACAATTTACAATGTGTCTGATGAAGTTAAACAGCTGATTTGGTCAAACATAACCTCATGACAAAATATCGATCGGCACAATTAAAACCAACCCATTCTCTCTCGCACCCTTTGTCTTCGCACTAGTGGATAATATTCCGAATCATTGCTGGAATCGTCTTCAAATACTATCATTCGTAATCGTCGAACCGTAACAACACTTCGGAGGTATATGCACGTTGAAAACTGAATTTACTGCAGCAAGCAACTGTGTGGAATGCGCAGGGCGGCGCGTCGGCGGAGGCGCGGGAGCGCAACGGGCACTCGGCGCTGCACCTGGCGGCGTGGGCGGGGCGCGCGGAGGCCGCGCGGGCGCTGCTGGCGCGGGGCGCCGACGTCGCCGCCGTCGACCGCTGCGGACGCACGCCCCTGCACCTCGCCGCCGAGCACGGCCAGGTGCGCACACACAACAACAACCCCCTTTTTTGTCTCTTTTTTTTTTTTTTTTTTTTTTTTAAATGTTTCTGTTCTAGATGAGCCTGTGAGGGGGGGGACTTTGTTGGGGGAAAAAAAAATGCACGAGTCAGATCGTGTGGGAACTACCTTCTTTTTGGTTTTATGTAGCTTTTCTTGAGAATTGATGTGATCTTCTTAGGCGTACGCAGGTGCGCCCAGAGAAAACACGGGGGCTGGCGCAGTACATTCATAGGGGCCCCATATTTCCAATAAAAGTTTCCTTATTTATTATTATTAACGATTAATATAGTTTAAAGTGGATCATAGTTCAACAACAGTTAATTTATTTTCAAAAAATGTATTGTAGTTTGTATTAAATTTCCGCCCCCCGCGTAAGTGGGGGGCCTGGGGCAAGTTGTCCCAGCTGCCCCACCCTCTGGATGTCCGCTCGGCGGCGCACAAAGTGGGACAGGGGAGACGCGTGCCCCTTGATTTTTCTTTTTTTTTTTTTTTTTAACTGGCTCTGAAGCCAAAGGCGGCTCCACATATTCTGCTTTCGCTGAGTAGCGAGCTACTTACTACTTGACCAATCCCGAACAGCTGATGCGTTCGGCGAATGTCCGCTTCCTTTAATAAGACCAGGAGACAGACGCGCGGAGGGTAGGGCGAGCACCGAATGTTCGTCAATCGGCAAATAGCAAGCAACTCACCCACACTACTGCGCATTCGGCAAGCGGTTGCTCGCTACTCGCCGAATAACGAATCTGGAGAACCGCCTTTATGTAAATATGTCCAGTCCCTGATTTTTTCCCCTTTCTTAACTTGGGATTTGGAAAATGTTATGCAATTTGGGGTCGAGGAAGCTCTCCAAGGCATCTGGAAATACTGGAAATAATTCAACAAAAAATTAAATATTTTGTTGACTTTATCATCAAAGTTTCATTTATCATTAAATCTTTATTAATTTAATTATCAGTTAATAAATATTAATAACTAATAAAGGATCACTTTATAATTAAATGTTTTTGTTAACATGTTGGAACTCGCCGCTCATTACAAAAAGCGTGTCTGGAGGTACCAGAATTAGATAAACTGTGCTACCCCTTACTTTATTAAGCACCTGCAAATCCCAAACAAACAGTCAACCTTGCCGGATGGCCGAAATCGCTAAGGCAGTAGTGCGGTAGCGATCTCGGACGAAAGGATCGCGAGTTCGAATCCCGCCTCGGGCATGGTTGTATTGTGTTTGTCCTTTCACCCCCATCATCATCATCATATAGTGTCACCCGCACAGTTACCGTACCGTTACACGCAATAGTGGTCGCTAACAACCTAGAAGTTGATGCGACCTTAAATAACAAAAAAACAAAATCAATCAACGTCAATCAATCCTTACAGTTACCGTACCGTTACACGCAATATTGGTCGCTAACGACCTAGAAGTTGATGCGACCTGTTTTAGGTTAATCAACCTGAAACGACTCGTCCTGTGTGTACTTGACGGGTGGTTTGTGTCGCAGGCGGAGTGCGTGGGCGCGCTGGTGGGCGCGGGCGCGGCGGTGGCGGCGCGGGACAAGGACGAGTGGACGCCGCTGCACTTCGCCGCCAAGTGGGGGCGCGAGGACGCGGCGCGCGCGCTGCTGGCGGCCGGCGCCGACAGGGCGCTGCGGAGCAACTGCGGCCGCGCCCCCAAGGACGTCGCCGAGACGGACGCCATGCGCAAGCTGCTCAGCGACTGAGCCACGGCCTGCTCCGCTGCTCGCAAAGAAGTTAAAGAAGTTAAAGCAAAGTGTTAATCCACGGTTTAAGTGTTCAAACTGTTTTATGTAGATTATCCGTATCATCTTCCAAAGAAAATATAATTGTTAAACTACAATGATGTAATTTACACTATGTATTTACAACAGAACAATAAGTTGGTATCCCAACGTATCCTCTTTTATTTTTTGGGAAAGAGACTGGATCGGTACTTGAACAGACACAACCTTGCGACGTGATTCCGCTGAAATATCACGCTGTTCGGAAAATACACGTGTCGGTAGTTGTCCTGACGGATTTGCTTCATCACCTCAAGTGCTTCTTCGATATGCTGCTTTGTGGTTTTGTAATGTTCTTGCGTCGTTAGAGCATTTGCGTCTTATCCCTTACCGTGCTCTTGCGAACGAATCGACTATCGTTGCCTTACGATCGGAGACCGAAATTTCGGTATGTCGATCGGGATGTGGTGAAAGCACCCACATCAACTATTCCATAATTTGAATAAGCGTGCCTTAATTCTGTGACTGATGTGAATACACCATCAAATTACACATCGATTCTTTCAAAGTAATTTTGCAAGAAACGGCGATATATGAAATGCCAGCCCGATAACTTCATTGTAAAATATTTTTATTGAATCGTTTCGATTCTTGTTTTCAAACAAACTATTTGGCAACAATATTTGTCATGCGTCGCGTAGTCTCATGGTTGTATAATGTTAATCGCGATGCTCTAGAGCGAAACTTTGTTCCAATTCGTTGCAAAGGGTCAACTAGACCCTGAAAGTATGAGAATGGAGGAAAACATTGTACGACGCGAGTTCGTTCACGGGTTCACGTTGTCGTTTTCTCTGTTCGTTCGATACCGAGTAGATTCCTTCACTTAGGCACGCCAGAGAGAACCATGGGACTTCGTATCTTAGACGTGTTGGAGTTTTGCTCAACGTTTTCGTTCACGCTACTATAATGGAACAATTTGCAAACTGTGAGTGCAATGCTAACGCTTAATTGACATGAAGCATCCTCCCATGGTTTCACATCTGTTCGACTAGAGCTGTTCTTCTACCCGATGCCCTACATTATAATAAGAATTCGGCGTTCGTAGCAAATTCTGCCACCAAAGTTCGAAACTACCTTCTTCCATTAATGTGACATGCATCGTACACGATACTCATCTCCTGTACACTCGATCACTGTTGAAATTTTTCCGAAACACTTTAATGTAATGTAAGAGGTCGCATATGTGCACAGACGCAGAAGTGGGGGCGTGTGGTGTATGATACTTTCCATCACATACTTATTATCTTCGACAACTTGAAATTCGGTTCTGTCATCTTCAGTGGTGTAGCGTGACCCCCTTGTATTAGAATGCTGAACAATAACCCAACTGAAGAAGTGGTGATCGTTAATGTTCCAAAAAATCGATTGCAACAAAATAAATATTTCAATATCTCAGAAAATTATGATAGTAGGCTACAAATCGAAAAAAATAAGAATATTTTGACGTATTATTAAAACATGCAATGAACAATTTTAAAGAATAATAAGTTGGAATATTTGCAATCGTCATTTCAACACCACTATAAACGTCACAATACTCAGGTAGAACACGTAACTTTAGCACCTCCTGTAACTTTTGAACCTCCTGTAACTTTTGAACGGTTAAAGTTATTGCAATGAAGTTTTCAAGGCAGTACATGAGAGAATCGGGCTAATTGATACGTATATTCATTTCTATTTAATCAATTGTCTTTTACGAAATATTTGAGGTAACTTTGTTTTGTTTTTTTAAATGGAACTAGACATATTTTTTCAGTCTGTCATGACGAGCGTAAAATGACGAACCCAATGATACTTATATTGTCATATGTTTGACTAGCATTTTTTGAGTCACTTTTGATTTTTGCGACTAATGTTTAACTAGTATTTTGAATGTAACTGTCCGCCACACAAGGTAACGCAGCGCTCACCCTGATAGCACGCGTCGGGGAAGGAAACATATTTCAAATATTCACAAAAGTGTTGCGTTTTTTTAACTCTGCTTTCCATCCTTTCGCATTTTCATATTTTTTGTATTTAAGGATTGAAAATTCGGATTTGTCATAAGTATTATACATTAAATAAGATAGTTATTTCAACCTTATTTAAAGGGGTGTCATACCTCAGGATATTAATGGGATCTTGATGCTAAACACACTGCATCAGTTTTGTAAATATTTGCAATATGTTACATATCTTCAAATACTAAGATCCCTTCCCTTCCCTTCCCCAGCGCGCGTTTGTTGGTGAAGCGTTGACCGACCTGTGGCGAACTGATACATTCGAAATATCCGTTGAACATTAGTCGCAAAAAATCAAAATTACTCAAAAAAATGCTTATGTAACATACGACAATATTTACATTATTGAATTCGTCTTTTTACAATCGCCATGATAAACTGAAAAAATATGTATAGTTCTGTTTGAAAAAAAAATTACCACAAATATCTCGTAAAATACAAGTGATAAAATGAAAATGAATACACCTATCAATTAGGTCCGTTCCCTCATGCACTTATGTGAAAACTGCATTGCAATCACTTTAACCGTTCATAAGTAACAGGATGCGCCAAAGTTACATGACTCATCCTGAATACTTATTCAACCAACACACGAATGCAACACAAGTCACATGCATACTAACTGATGGATGCTTCTTAATTGAAAACTGCCCAGGCTTTAACTTTTTATTTAAAATAATGTAAAAATGTTTCTTACATGTAAGGTACGTCGCGTTAAGCAGCCCACTGGCGTGTCTCCTCTCCCAAGGCGCCAACGCTGCTCTTGCCAACCTTCCATCAGTTCTTCCCACAATCGTGTTCATAAAAGACTGGTACTATCCTTTTTGTAATGAAGATAGTACTAAGAATTTGAAACTCCACTAGTGAATTTTTTTAAATAACAGTAAAAGGGGTGTTGCAAACTTGTTTAACTGAAGACTTTCTAGAAGTTTTGTTGCATAGCTTATTTCCTTTTCATATTATTTCGAGATTTGGGTTTTTGATTAACCATTTCTCACTGAAATGGTCTTCAAGGATTCATAATACAGTCTGGCAATGCTTCCTGCAGAAAAATATAATTAATAAACTTTTTTTCTGTTTACCTTTTACTGTATGTAATAGAAGATAATAAACATAGGGAACACAACAAACTATGTTTTCCATTGCACTTACAAAATTCAATCCTACGACTTCCCATAAAAAGAGCTGCTACGAAGAAGTCTCCTAATACCTGATTCAGGCACGGATCATCAGGGAGGGAATGAGGGAAATTTCCCCTCCCAAAATGTTCATTAACTATCAATTTTAACTTGTCACGACACTTTCAAGCCAAAATATTTTCGTATTAACATTAAAATGAATGAAGTTGAATCGCAAAATGAGCTCAGTTTAGCCTGCGTCATTCTAAGTAATCTGTAATAACACATTCGACCAAAACATTTTGAATAAAAAAGTTTCCCTCCCCAAATTCTTTGGATTCGCTCCCTGCCTGAGTGCAAACTATTTTGTTTGTTTTTTTGTATTTTGAACCACATACAGAAATACAGCTTTTTCACTTTTCTATGTGAGTTTATGTATTCATAGTATGCCACAGTCTTGTAACACATCCTTTAAAAACAGTGTTGTTTCTCAATGTAACATAGTTCAATGCTCAATAATGATATATTGCTGATGAGACATTTATCTCTCACTGAACAATCAAAAAAGTTTAATAGTTTTTCAGGCAAAATTTTTTTTTTCACTACATGCAAATACAACAAAATAAATAATCTTGTACAAAATTCAGGCCTTTGGGCATGCATGTCACAATGAAGTGGCAAGTTAGTACATTTACTTTCACACTTTTGTTTTTCAGGTTTAGCCTGGCATCATCAGATCCTTAGAGTTATCATGTAAATATGTGAACAATTCATGTTGAACTGGACCAACCGAGTATCAAGAAAGTGTGTGTTACTACTTAGTTGCATAATAATAGAGTGCTGTAGTAGCAAGATTTTCCCATTCATATTCAAATTAGATATCAGTAGTAAATGGGAAAAAATTGTTCTTTTTTCTACTGCATACAAGCTTCCCATTTTCCCATTCATATTCAAATTATATATCAGTAGTAAATGGGAAAAAATTGTTCTTTTCTCTACTGCATACAAGCTTCATTCCTAAATCTGACCATATTTTTGAATAATCTTTTTTTTCATTTTGCGTGCAGTAATATACCTTTTATAGCTTTCTGTTCGTGAATGTTTTGACAAAAATAGGCGTACTCCTGGAAACATTCTTCTTATCAAACATAAATAGCACTAAAGCTGCCATTGAAGACTTTAGGATCCTTTAAAGGCATATGGTATGAATCATAGAAATAACTATTTATTCCAAATGAGGTTTTGTTCATAATGATTCAGTACAAGTTATGTGAAGTGAAAATTAAATTCAAATGTGTGGCTTTACAGGGACTGATAAAAAAGCCTAGCAGTGGCTAAAGTGAAACATGCTCAAATGGCCACTACCCCCTTTTTAAGCACATTGTGAGCACAGAAGAGAGTAAGATTTGGTACAGTCAGTGTTTATATGGATGAGTGCAGAAATCTAAAATACATGTATCATATGTGTTACAAATATATAAAATTAAGTAAACTAAAGCCTATGTCAAGACAGCGTTGGGTTGACGCGCGTCATAGATGAGCACCATAACTTACGCGGATTGGCCACACACACACACACACAGAGGTCGTTGTATGAGTTCCAAGCGGTTCTAACTCCTTTGGGGGGAGCTCTAACCGCGATGAGCTAAGTATTCTTGCAAGTGGCATAATTCTTAGTACATCTCTGAATCGTTTTCCGGATGAGATATAGTTTTATATATAGTTGTAACGCTTCGTGTGCTAATGTGCACTATTTACAACCTTACTTCCGCTCGCAGTGTGTTGGTAGTCCATTCCCGTTTCACACTCGCTGATACGCTTCTTTAATTTATGGGAGTTTGTACAGTTTTGTTATTTTATAGTATATACAGGATTATATTTATCAGAAATATACACATTGGTTTGCCTAATGCTAATTATGAATAACTTAATACGAACTTATGAATAATCCTAATGGAACTATGCTTAAGATCTAAATTTACAGTTTTTATACAGAGTTTTGAGGTGTTTTCAGTTTTTGTTAACTTATAGATGGTTTACAGAGTTTGTTTACCGGATTGTTTACATTCTATACTTTAACTTATTACTACCTCCGCCAACTATCCTAATTGAACCTGGCCTAAGATCTAGAAATATACAGAGTATGTACACAAGTTTTTATTACGTTTAATGTGTTAGTAGTTGGTGTGATGATAGATGATTAGATAAGTTTTAGTGTTTATGATTTAGAAGTGGTTATGCGCACCGCGCATTCCGTGTCGTGCGAGCGCGTGCAGACGCGGTACTCACCCTGGTACCACCTCTACACGGCGCCACGCACAATGATAGCCAACTGCGTGGACCGTACGGTTGTCTATAGACGGGCACGCACACACACAACTATCGGCCTCCGTTAGCTCAGGCGATGTAGCCAGAGGGCTACTAAATAAAAGGGCTTGGAGGACCACCTCAATACGCGAGGAATGAGGATCGCCGAAATGGAATAAAAAGCGAAAGCTTAAATATTTAATTTAATTTATTTTAAGTGCCTCTTGGATTAATAAAATGTAAACTTTTACAATCTAGAGAAGAACATGAAATACAATACAATTGTAAACTACTATATACAAAATGAGTGCCGGGCCCGAGCGGTGAATTTACTACAAAAAGTAATTGCAGACAAACTAAATCTAAAACTTAATTCAGTACTTTACCAATGAACGAATTATTCTAATTGACACAAACAATGACTTAATCACGATAACTGATCCTTGGATGAAGAGTGGAAACAGTCAATCCGATGCAATGCCTGATTTAATGAGGATTAAATGTTCCATTGCATGGTATGAACTTGAGAAGCTTGGTCTGTAACTCAGAGGCAAGAAACATGGGGTACCTGCTATTTGAGGCGCTGAGCTCGTCCCATGTCTTCGCTGCGCGGAAAGGTCGCTGACACGTCCAGTGCGCCTCTGAGCGAATGCTGCAAGCCCCCGCACAACGATGACCAGGCAATGCGCGCTGTCGTGGTCAGTTTCATGCGGGGTGTGACAGCCTCAACCCTGAAATGATGCCGAGAGGGCAGACCCTGGTGGTCGACCATCGGCTAATGCGGGCAGACTGAAAGGCCAGAATGAATGTAACATGATGTCCCAGGAGGCGGGAGCAGACGTGACAAGACGCGTGCTCAACGTGGCCTCGTCTCACATGTTTAGCTATCTCTACAATGAATGTCTATTGATGTCTCTGCGAAATCTCTGTGTTGTCTGCCCGGGCCGCGGTTGTGCGCACGAATGTATAGAACCCGCCCCTCCCTGGAGCGGGGGTGGCTACCACGAGGTGTGGCGGGGGGGGGGGTGCTCTGGGCCGCCCGTGGGGAAAAGGCTGCCGAAACCCTCAGAAGACCTAACAGCGGGGCCGCGCGTGCACTTAGGCGAGCCGCTGGCTGGGGGTGGTCGCAATTCGCGGAAGGCGCATAATGGTGTCATAACCGCACCATGCCGACAAGGACGCGGCGGTCGTGCTCAGAGGGTGGCAAGCCGGCGGGTGCGTGAAAAGAGACGGATTTTGCGCCTCGCTGTTCCCGGCGGCCGAGCGTAGAAGCGAGGGGGCGGCGCAGGTGGTTGCAAACCACGTGCCGATCGTAAACAAGTGGTATGGCAGGTTTGGTATGAAGTATGATTTGGTTAGTATTTGTTAGTTTTTGTTAGTAGCTGTTAGTGGTTTCCTTTAAGCAACATGGGGCGTATGGTGTTCGTCCTCAAATGGTCCGTTTGGAAGTTGACGCGTATTTTCGGCGTCGGCTTTGCTCTTTTGATGCACCTCTGAGATTGTGTGAATTTATTGTTATGATAGGGTGTTGTAGATAGATTTAGAGCTATTGTGGGATTTTTAATATTAAGCTGTTGGTGTTTCACAGGTTTTGGGTTTCAAGAAAATGCGTTCTGAAGGCAGTTTTTCTTTTTTGTGTCGAGATGGGTTTCGTGTAATATTGTAAGTAGGGCTTGGAAGAGGAGGGTGAGTGTCAATGGTTAGTAAAATGTCTGATATTCCTTTCGTGGGAGCTCGTGTATTGCGGTCGTAATTGGTTTAAATATTTTCTAGTCGTGAGTTCGTCACGAGGATAGAGCAGGGGGTGGGGCGAAAAGCTTAGTCGAATGAAGTAGTTTTCTGCTCTTGTCAGGTAATTTTAGCGTGATTGGGAGCTGTGGCCAATGTCTCGCAAGCGTATAGACCCGCAACTGCGTATGCATGCCAAATATAAATGGAGTTTTTAAATTTTTCTTTAAGGTCGGCTCTTGAAGAGGGGAAGCAAGTGATAGATACGTCGGAGTCATGTTGTTGCGTGGCGTTTGATATGTGCGTCTTTTCCAAGTCAGTCCTGGCGGTCAAAAGTAAACTCCCAGGTATTTGATGTGTCCGCCAACGGAATGGTGTGACCAATTAGGGCGGATGGGAGCGCGAGTGTTGTGTGTGAGTTTATGAGAAAAGATTATAGCTTGGCATTTGTGTGCGTTTAGTGTGAGGCCATTCTCCGCACTCCACTTTATGAGCTCATTTGCAGACGTTGTAGGCGCTTTACCGCGATGTTAATTCGGCTGTCTTTAACCGTGAACGCTATGTCATCAGCATAAATGAAAATCTTGCACTCCGGTGATGGTAGGGGCGTCGTTAAGGAATCAGAGAGAAAGGAAGGGTGAAAGCAACAGCACCCTGAGGGACGCCGGCTGAAATAGGGCGGTAGTAAAAAAAAAAGGGAATGAAAAAAAAAAAAAATATAAAAAAAATTTTTTTTTTGGTAGACGGACGGAGAAATTTCGAGAAGTTAAGTAACGATAAACGATTAAAGAGAGTGAAGGGAGGAACGTAGGGCGAAGTTTGTGGATTAGTAGGGGGTGAATGGACTGTGTCAAAGCAATCGAATAGTCGAAAAATAGGGCAGGGATAGAGCAGCGGCGTGCTACAGAGGAAGATACACGAAGGTTTGATGCAGAAGAGCCGATTTTTTCGGACTCCGAAAATTGCAAGTTTTCACGGATGAATTACCCCTATTCTCAGATCGTCATTCTATTTAGAAATAAGGCGTTCGAGTAATTCCCCTAAGAGGGTAATAGAGAAATGGGCTGTAATTTTCGGGAACGCAAGTTCTTTCCCGGTTTTGGAATAAGCGCACGGATGCAATTTCCCACAGGTAGAAAATATGCACAGAAATGCAAGCTGAGAGATCAAGGCAAGAAGAGTGGCCGGCCTGCGAGGAAGTTGCTTGGCATTGCTGCAGGGGAGTCTTTTCTCAGCAGTCGGAGAGAAGGACGTTGCCCCTCTCTGCTACCGTCAGGCGACCCTTCACGCCTTTCCACCGCACGTGCGGCAAAGAGCTTGTGGCCCGGTGGAGCTCAGCTCCCGCGGGCCGGCAACTGGAAACCGGGCGGGTCATGCTGCCCGCTAGCCTATCCGGAGGCACATGTGTGTTCCCGGAACAGCACATCTCGCCGCCACCGCGCAAGACACACTAACCCGCGGATAGCATCGTCTCGCGTGGCGCGTGACGGGCGAAGAGTACTGGAGCAGCGCAGTGGTTGGACCAC